CTGCGCTGGTGCCGCGAGCGCCCCTTCCGCCCCCCCGACTCCCCAGTGTCATACTCCAGGCAGTCCTGGGGCACCTCTGCCCGGATGGCGCCCTGCGGGGATGGGGTCAGGGGACGGGTGGCCATGCGTTGGGACAGCCATGCAGAGGGCACGGTGACAGCCACATGCAGGACGGGGTGACAGCCATGCATGGAGTATGGTGACAGCCATGCATGGAGCATGGTGCACGGTGACAGCCATGCACAAGCCCAGGCTGGGGGCGCAGAGATACCCTCCGGAAGACTCACCGGGAGCTGGGGGTGGCTATGGCCATGGCCGGTGGCCCGCTCGGCCTCGTAGGTGTAGTAGTCAAGAGGGGCGCAGAAGAAGCCGGGCTGCACCTGGTTGCACTGCCGCCCCATGAGGTGGGGACGGCAGGGACAAGCCCCATCCTCCATGGAGCACCTGGGGGTGATCGGCTCATCCCTCTGTCCATCCATCTGCCTGGCTCTGTCCACACTCATCCATCCTTCTCTCCCTCTCCACGTCCCTCCCTCCATCCCTGTCCCCATCCTTCCATCTCTGGGGATGGAGATCCCTCCCTCATCTCCCCATCCCTCCCCCTCTCTCTGCATTTGAAAAGGGGGGACGCATGGGGCAGGTGTGGGGCCAGCCCGACCCTGAGGGTTGCCGTAGGGCTGGGGAGAGTCAGGGCCATGGAACGTGGTGTGGGGCAGACTGGGACACTCACCACGCACTCGCTGCAGGAGCGCCCGGCCACGAAGCGTTTGCAGTAGCAGTCTCCGCTGATGGGGTCGCAGGGGGAGCTGCCCGCCACCGTGCCTCGTGGGTCACACCTGCATGCTGCCCCACACACACACACGCACACCCACACATGAGGTGCTGCCACATGGCACGGCAGCCCACGGGCTTCAGGCTTCACGGCCTTCCCTCCCCATCCCGTGTCCTTCCATCCCTCCGTCACCATCTCTCTGTCCCCATTCATCCATCTACATCCCTCCATCCCACAACCCTCCATCTCCATCCCTGCATCCCACATCCATCCATCACTATTCCTCCATCCCACATCCCTCCATCCTCACCCCTCCATCACCATCCCTCTATCCCACATCCCTCCATCCTCATCCCTCCATCCCACATCTCTCCAACCTCATCCCTTCATTACCATCCCTCCATCTCACATCTCTCCATCCCCATCCCTCCACCCCACATCCTCTCGTGCCCATCCCTGGGTCCCAGCTCACGCTGACAGCCCTGCGGGTCGCCATGGCTGAGGCCGTAGGCACCGTGCCTGCAGCGGTCACAGCGGGGACCGGCCACGTTCTCCTTGCAGCGGCACTGCCCTGCAATCATGCCCAGTGCCACGTCCGTGTGCCCATCACAGGCGCCTCCGTCCAGCGAGCCTGCCGGGACGCAGTCGCATGCTGCCAAGAGAGAGACCGCAAGGAGCTACGGCAGCCAGGGGGCTGGGGTGGTGGCACTGGGAGCCGTGGGGCTGGGACAAGCCGTGGTCCTGTGGCACTCACGGGCACAGGCAGTGGGGGCACGGATGTCGGAGGGGGGGTGCCGGTAGTAGAAGGGCTTGCAGAGGTGGCAGTGACGACCCATGGTGTTGTGCTGGCAGCCGTCACACACGGCCCCACTGGTGTTCCCCGTGGCCAGGAAGACGGCCATGTCGAAGTGGCACCGCTGTGAGTGCTCGTTGCAGTCACACCCTGCAGGGACGGTATCATGGCACGGCATGCGGTACCCCAACTCCCCGCCTGGCAGCACCCCAACCCCAGAGCCGGGGCTGCGGGTCCTTGATCCCAACCCCTCAAGCCCCAGCCTGCAGAACCCTCATCCCACACTGCAGCAGGATGCACCCTAACCCCAAGCCCCCCAAATCGCAGCCTGCAGCACGCCAGCCCCCCTAAACCCCAGCCCCACATGCAGCACCCCGAACCCCAACGCATG